GGGAAGGATTCTCGGTGGAATATGAAATATTTTTGGTTCAAACCGGAAAAAGTAATATGTATCATCTCTTTTCTAACACAAATATGTTATATAAAATAATATGAAAGCAGATCAAAGCACTTCTAGTGGTTAGCAAAAATTTTAGTTCTCACTGCGAAATAGTATCTGAACTTAAATGTTGTAGATACAGTTACCCGTCATAAATTAAGTCAATCCATAGAGGCGGTGTTGATTAGCCCTTTGTCAACTCAATCATTGAACATCCGAAAAGTTGTTTGGCATAGTACTCCCAGTTCTTTTTTCAGAAGTTATTTACGGAAAGGAAACTTACATTGTGTTTTCCTAAATAAATAATAATTACTCGCTTAGACAGGTAGTATGTTTGTGATGTGCTGGAAAGTCTGTCATTRAAGGAGCTTTCAAAATCTTTAACTGTCGCTAAATTATTTGCAACTAGTTGTAAACTCTTGTTTTTAATAATTGAGAAAAATAGGGAAATTAATTCTTTACTTAGTTATTTTTTTGAAATTGTTTAYAACAGTTTAAAGTACATTGYATTTTCATCAGTTGATGTGGTCGAAAGTCGTGCAGAACGAAGATTGTTTTAACGATCTCTCTACCAGTTTTGAAGGCTCTCTAACACTCATAGGATTGTGGTTTTGATAAAACTGAATCACCGTAAGCCGTTCTCGACATTCTCAACGATTTTGCACAAGTAATTTGGTTGGAAAGACAATTTTTGAGACAAATTCCTTGATCGATATTTTTATCCAATATAAAATCGCAACGCACTAGTGAGGTGTACCGGCTTAAGCAGCTGCTGTAAACGAATTGGTTACCAAGTCGCGCTCATATTTGGCATATCTAGTAATTAAGGATAGTCCTACTAACTAAGCAAAATATATATTTTTGGAATGTCATTTACCCGGGGAATTTAATTACAATTTCCGGGTTCTTTTTGTTATAATTTACGCGAACTATTCTCTCATTATGTGAAATATCGACCTGAAATTCTTCCACGTCCTTCAAGAAGCTACTTATGKGTCGGAATCGCCRATATCAATTCCTTAAATGGGAGTTATAGTTACTTTAAACGAGATATTCGTCAGTTTGACCAGTAAGTTGATCTCTGGTTCAGATGCACTCGTATKCAGCCTACCTTACTTGCCCCATTGCCTGTTGCGCATAGCGTTTTCAACTTTGCAGCAGTTCGTGCAGCTTAAGCCACGCTTTGTATGCAAATTAGCGGCAAATAGGTGCACAACATGCCGCTTTCTCACACCGACGTAAGACCCACGTATTTCGCTGGCGATTTATGCTAATTTTTTCGATAGCAACAACAAAAAGGAACAACGGRTGCCACGAACGAAGCGAAATTTTTGCTGTTGCATGCAATATGTGAATTACTCGTGCATATAGATATATGCGAGGAAATATGACACAATTGTTCTTGAGTTTTTCGCAGTGAAAAATGTCTTTGCCACTCATAAATTGGCCATGTGTAATTCAGGTGACTCATGTAACTGTGTTTTTTMGCTTGCATGTATGAGTAATATTTAAAAGCTAATATTTATACATAATAACTGTAAYTCGCTTGTGAGTCATTGGTATTTGCGGGCAATTTGCTTTCAATTTCATTTGAATTCGAGCGAAAAATGTTGCGTGACCCAAAAGTACGAACATTTTGTGGGACACCTTTTGATAACATTCATTCGAATACACGTGTTCATATACTTWTGTATGTTTTATACATACGTATGTGTATATCTGTAGTGTGTACAAATTTGTTTTTTATAATTGTTGCAATTTTTTTGCAAGACTCCATTTGAAATTAATTCGTCTAGTTCGCTTATCTTTGTAACAAGCTAATCACCGCCAGCACGCTTAGCCAATTATTTAAGTAACTGGAAAAAATTAGCAGAACCGCCCGTTAGCAAAGTTCAGCGACCAAGTTGGAAATAATTTTTGCACCAATTGCAAACTGTTAAGTTTTACAGTCCCCCAATAAAGGGGTTACAATCTCATTTATTCGCGCGAAGTATTTTAGTCCCATTAACTTTTATTCTTTTTATTTATGCGACATGTGGTCATTGGCCGTAGCTGTTAAAAAAAGAATGTACATGCAAAAGCAACAAAAACGTTAACTATGCGGATACGTCATTAAATAAGTATTTTCGATATCTTTAAAACTTCCCGGTTTTCTTTTATAAATGTTAGGTCACTTGCCCACTTTATATAGATACTCTAGATATTAAAGTCTACTGCAGTCAAATTTAATAGTGCTATTACAACTCAGWAGAATATAAACTTGAGTGCATAAATACATAGTAAAAGAGTACAGACTAGTCTCCCAATTAGGTACAATAATATACACTTAATAATACAGTCAAGGGGTTAAAATTCCTACTCCTATAAAACATATAATTCATAGTGTGTATCTTTTGCAAAATATATATTCAATAATGGTTGAATTAACTTAGTAAGTCTAAATAGTCAAAGCATTAGAAATATATTCAGAAATACGAAGGGAAACTTGGCGCTTTTAAATCTTTAGTATATTAAGTTTGCCATGAAGCTTGTAAAACCTGGAAAAAAATGTCGGAGTCCCTATAAAATCGATGTGTTTATAAATTATCAGCATGCTGAACTGAGTCGACTTAGCCAAGTTATTCTAAGAAATCGATCTAAAATTTTGCACACGATCTGTTTTTACCAAGAAGTGGGTCACTTGTCGAAAACCAAGCTCGAGCAKGGAAACCTTTTTCATTTGACGAGATTTGTATCTCACACAATACGTATGGCACATTTTCTAAAACAACGCTTACCTATCTGAAGAAACTTTCCAAGTCGGAACAATATATTAGAAACAAAATACATTAGTTCGGTAACCAGTTAACGTGGAAATTTAAAAATAGTATAMAGTTGGAAAAATAACATGGAGTAGACGAATAAATATTGCGAATCTGCCTGGTTTTTCTCTAAAACAAACTCGGAAAAATAAAATGCAGAATTTTGGTCGCTATGACTTCCGAATTAGGTATACTCCCATAGTGCCTTACACATTACCAAATATAAGTTATCCACAAATCTTTTTCTCCAAAATGGCTTTTATAGGGAATAAMCAATTAATTAAACAAATTAGAAAAATATACATTCTATGATATTCATGATTAATTAAAAGAAAGCAACATGAAATTAGTTTAAAGCGACTAAATCATTTGCACCACTGACGGTAGAAAYATAGACTGCACAATAAGCTCTTCCAACAACGAGTCGTTCTTYCTTTAGCCTCAATAACTGCATTAATTTTTGGAAGCATGTAATTCAATTGATCTATTTATAACGGTGGCATACCAAATCAGGTCTAAAATCCTTATCAATTGTATTTTATTTGTTTGCTTCTATTTAGTAACTTCAAACTTTATTATATGCTATAAGTGSTATATAGAGTTTCCAGGATAATCCAAGCGTTGATTGTATAGATAGTTAAATGTATTGGCCAACGAAAACAAATAGGATTACATACACCAATGTTGTGTATAGATGTTTTATACAARATTTGTTTCTAAGCAAAGCTTAGCCACTTCCGRAGTCTTCCTGGAAGAAAAGGCGATYCGTTTAATGATAMTGCTCTTCTATTGTGGGATTATTCCATCATCCAGGTGTAAATGTGACAAAACATTGTATGAAAAGCAACCCCAAATAATATGTCTTTGAGGAAACTTAATTTTATTTACTACACAATTATGTTGGAACCGCCTGAACGGCGCACGTAAAGCAAATTTTGTTAACTAAACAAATGAAATGTATTTTCCTTAGACCATATAAATAGTTGCAAATCATTTTGATCACAATTTCAGTAGTTTTTAGCCCAGAGYAGCCTTCATTTTTTCTTTTAAAAGTGGCTTTTGGCACGGCGTCTTCCATTTAAACCCACATTTATAAGCCGTCGGCGTATGGTTTCGTCATTTAGATCCACTTGGTTTAGACAGTGCATTTTTATTCCATACATTTCKTCATCTAATATCAGAAACGAATTTTTCGGTCACTCGTTAATTTCTGTTGATTATTTGGCATTGCGTACAACTTTTCAAATATACAACCAACCACGACTATAACTGAACAGGTCTCAACCCAATTTAATAAAAATTAATTACTTTCTCAGTGCCKATTAGATCTAGAGAATTTTTAATGRCTCCGTTCCATAATCTTCCTTAACACTCTCATGAAGATCAGCGTCCTCTTATTAGRATTTTATAATTTTTGCGACTTTTATGAAATGAATTGCTCGTTTAGTAACAGCCAAACTCTCACCAAGTTTAAATAATGAAATAATAGAACTACGAATTCGGTTAATAAAAACTTACAATTTCTAAATGAGCAAGTGGCAGAACTTAGAGCGACCTCTATGAAAAACATGTATTCTATTTCAGAGTGATTTGAATAACTTAAAACTGATTTGATAGAGGKTATATTATATGCTACTTTTGCAAACATAAGCACTTGCCGCAGAGAGTGTTTCCAGCAGTTAATTCCTTTTGTAGTTGAGCTGAATTTACACACACATCATAAATATTGTATATTATACATATTTATAGGACACTCTTTTGCTGTACACATTTTGAATTATTTTGCTCTTAAGTAACCTACTAAGGTTTAGAACTATCAATTGGACTTAAAATGTAGATTTATGATTCTTTGTAGTTTTTTATTTGATTTCAAATTGTTCATGCCTCTTAATACTGCGTGTTTGTTTTAGTAAAGATCTGTGCTTTTACCTTACTTTAGTATATATGTTGTACTTACATATAAGTTTCCATATTTTTTTATTGAGAAAAAATGTATACACTCTCTTTTGTATACAAATATCGTAAATCTATCTTTAACAAATGTTTTCATTATTTTTGCAAAATTATTTAAATAATTTTCTATTCATAAACTAATTACTAAATTAATTATATATAAATTTTCTTTAAGTTCAAGTTTCTGTTTATTTACATATAAGATTTTCGTTTCTTGTTCAGTTTATGCATAATTCTAAGTCTAACAACTAAATGCAGGATTTTCAATTTGGCATAGGATATGTGTCCTTTTTAATTTATTTTTACCGTTGTTATTAAAGACAACGCTGTTATACCTTTCCCGGTGTTACTGTCACCTACACAGTGTAGTAAGAAATTAAATTAAATTAGTTATCTTAAAGATATGCTGTAGCTTGAAGTACAAAGTGCCGTTAATAAGCTCAGTAGTGTTGCCAGATGTAATTGTTGCAATGTGGTGTGAGAACGTGGCTTTGCCGAGGAGGAACCTGCAACATTTAGAACGTTAATTTCAACATCGAAAAAAGTTATAACAAAAGATTTAATAGGATTAGAGTTAATAACTCRTCACCGAGGTTACCATGTGCACGCGATTTGGCTGCAATTGTTTCACGTGATTCCAGCGCTGGTGCACGATGCTGTCGATCACTTTGCACACTTGCCTCATTACTTTGCCAATACAAGGAGGAGATTTTGGCCACGCACTAACATATAACAATAAACATAATTACTCAATAATATATTTTGGTTTAGCTATCTATACGTACTTTCATTTTTATTTCGCCATCTTGAAAGTGGATACCCTTCACACGAAATTCCAAACCTAGCCGCGCCATTTCGAGCCCCTCGCGACCGACCACATATTTTTCATATTGTTTGAGATATGATCGATTTGCCGGTTCACCATTRATAAACCAGCTGAGATGACAGACTGGCTTGGATGGTCCTGAGGTGCAGTTCATGCGAATAACATCCCCTATTTGGTAGCTCAGGCGACCACCGGTGACTTTGGGACCATGGTTGGGTGTCACTGAAATTATAGTAAATTCATATAAAACCATTAATTAGAATTAAGTARAATTAATTTTTATATTTTCACAATTTATATATTTTCCTTTTCTGGGTAGTACTCTACATTTGACGTCACGTCAGATCAAAATTAGTGATATTTTCTGCATTGAACTAATTTTAAATAAATGGTTTGAAAACCTTAAAAGGATGTAAATTAATGTAAAGTAACTATAAGGCTATAATATCTTTTCTAAATGCCTATAAACCTGTATCCATTCAGCATCTATTATAAATGATCGTAGCAGTCTTACTAAAATGATGCTGCTATGTATAAGCATGTGATTTTCTGGATGAAATTTTAGTAAAATATTGATCGCTGAAACAWATTTGAAACAATTAAAGAATTCGCACTTCTTTTATCATTTTCATACACGAATATACTAGTTATGCATTTTATGTTTTGATAATATATATGTATATGATAAATCTCACAAAAAATGAAACAGACTGCACTTAGTTTAAATTTCTACGTTGGTATGACTGTCAGTGAYAACTGTGCCAAATGTCTCATCAAAATACATTAAGTGCATTTGGCGATTTTTGCAATGAGTGAGATTATTCAACAAAGAAGTTTCATTTAATTTTGTGCACGAAATTCAATTTCTTGTGCCAAAATGTTCAGAATGTTTAAAAAAATCCTTCCGTGACAATTGTATGTGGTTTTGATTGGCAAAAATTATTTAAAGAGAGTCGGGAACGCGTTGACGACGAACCACGTCCAGCACGCCCATCAATTTCAACTGATGATCAATACGTCAATAAAATAAAGGAATTGGTGATTGAGAACACTGGTAGACACATAATTTGTGATATGACGTGTTTCTAATACAGTTTCATACCCAGAAGTCAAATCTGAAAACAGAATTTTTCTATCACCCAAAGATTTTCTGTAACCTGCGGCTTTAGATTTTACAATACATAAAATTTCATTAAATTGCATAATCTCATATTTTCATACAATTAGGGATTTATCCAGTTTAGACCGGTTCCTCCTTACCAGTGAACCTCTAGTTGATTAAAAAAAARTATGCCTACCACCTTTGCATATCAAATTGGGTTTAATGAASAATTTTCTTAAGGCAATGAACGGAAATGGAAGAGGGTTCTTGTATCTGAAACAAMAATTTTCAAGAGTTTGTGAAGCAAAAATTAAGGAGGGCATATATGGATACAAGTTGACTAATGAAGGATAAAATATTTAAGGAAATGCTGAATGAAACTGAAATACGAGCCTGGAATAAGAGCCTGGAATAAGAGCCTGAAAAGCTTTGTTAAAACAACGTGAAAGTTGACAATTACAAATATCATGTGCCAGAACTACTGCCTATTAAAAAATGTGTTGCAAACATATCCCTTAAAATTCACTTTCTGAACTACCATCTGGTTTTTTCCCCGAAAACTTAGGGGCYGTAAGTGGCGAACATGGGGAAACATTTCTACTATAGAGAAACGGTACCAAGGTAAGTGGAGTGCCAGTTTGCTCGCCGATTACTGCTGGACATTGTTAAGGGATGTTCCAAAAACAAAATATCGCCGAAAAACATCGACAGTAACATTTAAGGTACTCTTTGGTTAATAAAATAATGTAATATAACAATAATATATCTAACGCTGTTTTTTTTTAAACAAATATCCTCATAGCAAAAACACAATAGGTGATAGAAGAAATCTGCAGCTATTTTCTGCATTTGTGGCGATTTTTACAAAATAAACACTTTGTTCTGTTCATGTCACAAAAACAAGTGGATTTTTGTTTACCAGTGGACTCGTCGATTAAAAGACAGAAATCCTATTGACTCCGTTGGAATAACGAAAAGATCATTTGGGGTTAAGAAAAATGAAGGCGCGATTGATTCCAAAATCACTAAATTATTTCGAAAAAGAGCGTAGCGTTAATATCTTTCAACCAGGATATTAAAAAATATTTAATTATTGGCGATGAGTTTTCGATATATGCCTATGATCCGAAAACAAAAGATCAATTAGCTAAATGTGATGTCAAAGGTAAGCYAAAACCGAAAAAATAACGTCAAAAATCAACATTATGTTGAAAGTACTCTCCGAGTTATGACAGGAATGCAAACGGACTATTAAAGCGCCAAGAAGAGCTTCAACAAAAAGGGAAACCCATTTCACGAGACACAGCCATATAACTATCACGRAGTAAGATATCTATCACAAAATCCATCCTAGTAATTGTGCGAGGGAAGGCACTGCTGTTATTGTTAAATACAGTATAAAACATTATGAGGATAAAAAAACAAACATTATAAGCAATGAACCAAACCTTTTCAATAACTGCAATATATTGCGCGCCGGGATACAAAACCACATTGAAGTATATAAAGAACTTCTCACAAATGTATGATGGAGGGGACTTTAATGCAAAGGATGTTTATTGGGGATCGCGCCTAACGACAGCTAAACGGCGAGACTTATTCTAAGCAGCTCAAGAATGTGGATGTGAGTTTGTTTGTAGATGTAATATACTTCTTTTTAGACAGTACGATGTCTTGAAACTTCATCGAAATTGAAGGTGGGTTAGGTCTTAGCTCTGATCATTATATTTAACACTAAGTGAAACAGTTATTAAAAGAAATCTTAGTTTGAAGCTATACAACAAAAATGCGGACTGGACTTCGTTCAAACAAATACTTCATATTAAAATAAAGTGTCCAAAAATCAMAACAATTGAACACCTAGAGTTAGACTTTAACACATTTATGAAAGAAATTCATCAAGCAGCTTTGTATAAAACCGGAGATAAAGCGAAAAATTATAGCTTCAAAWTACCCTAAAGAAATAAAAATCCTCCTAACTAAGAAAGGAAATTTACGACGGAAAAGGCAACAAACATGATCACAACTTGACAAAACCAACCTTAATAAGGTAACAGCTGAATTAAAACGATAAGTTTCTCATATTAAGAATGAGTCAATTAATAAATGTTTTTCTTAACTATCCGCTGACAAAAAAGATGATTACCCACTCTGGAAAAGTACAAAATATCGGAAACGTCCAACAAGCCCGGTTGCATCGTAAAAAAATTGGCTAGAAGTGATCGTGATAAAGGTAATGGAAAAACACCTAGCTAAAACCTTTTGTCCAAACTTTCTAAGTTATAGTGAAATCACGTTCCTCAGTAGTACTCAACAGGATCATGCAACAACCCCAGCAGTTACCACTTGTGAACTTAAAAGTGAAATAAAAGCCTTATAGTTAAGAAAGCAGCAGAATTCGATTTAATAACAGCTGAAGTGTTAAAGCAGTTACCATACAAATGTTCACTAAAGCTCAGCTATCTTTTCAACACAGCAATCCGACTGACACATTTTCCAAGCCGAAGTTGTTATATTTCCTCAGCTTGGAAAGGATCMTCATGTAGTCTYGTCATATAGATCACTTCTTCCACAAACCTCAAAACTATTTGGAAAAATTAATTTATCTAAGATTAGAATYTATCGACGAAAAGCATCTATACTATCGCATCATTTCGGTTTTAAAAACAAGCATTCAAAATAACAACACATTTATAGAATAATATCCGCAATAGAAAAATTCTTGGAGGAGAGTTGCACAAGCGTTCGAAAAGGTGTGGCACGAAGACCTAAACTAAAATGTTGTCTTCCGATTGAGTATTGTGCTCTTCTAGAATCGTACCTCACTGTGAGATTTTTCCGTGTAAAATATGAAAATGAATTCTCCAAGCTAGAAGAAATTGAAGCAGAAGTTCCTCAAGGAAGTATATTATGTCCACTTTTATAAATTCTGTATACAAATGACTTACTGTTAGCGCCAAACAGTACGACTGCCACTTTTGCTGATGACAAAAACAGTAATAAGCCAAAACAGCAGAAAAACAGTAATAAGCAAAACTCATGTTAAAATAAAAAGAATTGAACTGAATCTAAAATTATCTAAAATTAAATGGCTAATTGGGTGAAGGTCAAACCTGTCAATAYACAACAAATTACTTCTTTATAAACAAATAATCAAGTCATAAAGGACACATGCTGCGCAATTGTGGGGATGTGCCAATGATAGCAGTATTAATATTATACAACGTTTTTAAGGGGTGTTCTACTCTAGAATTGTGAAAAATTCGATTTTTTTTTCATACGTTTAAAGTTTAGACCCTTAAGAACATATCCTCCAAAGAATTTTTAAAAATTAAAATTATTTTAAAAGCTACTTTAATGAGCCCGGTAGGTAGGTAGACTCACTTTTTTAACGCGTTTTTCTCGAAACTACTTTTTTCCACACGGTATTATCTCAAGTTCTATACAATCTATGGATGGATGGTAAAAATATTTTTAGTTTTTTTTTTTTTTTAAATAGAATTCAAAAAACTGCCCAAAATTTGATTTTTAGAGTAGAATACCCCCTTAAAACAAGGTGTTAAGAGGCATTGTAAATGCTCCTTGGTACTGCAGAAATGCTGATATTTATCGAGACCTAAGAACGAATACTGTCGCCGTGGAAATAAGGAGTCAAGCAGATGGCTTAATGCAYATTTGGACGAGGAGGCGAGAWATCTTCTCTTAGCTAAKKAATTAATTATATACCATATACATATSAATTTCTATGTAATTTGTTTTAAAGGTATTCGAATCAAATTGCTCGTTAGTTTTTGAAACTAGTTGTAGKGATATCAATCATTGTTAAAGTTTTAAAAATGATTKTAWTAACAAAAATGTTGMAAGTTTTCGTCGATTATCGAGGTGTGTTGCACTGCAAAATCTTTCYGACCGGCCAAACTGTCAACGAGGACTTCTWTTTGAGTGTTATGCGTCATTTGATCGAAGATAATCAATGATTTTTCCAGATATRTGGGCAGACAACTCTTGGTCTTTGCTTCACGATAATGTCGCTTACAGCATTGATTCTTCRTGAGTTTTTCATCAAATTTTTCAACCAATATCGTGCCGAAACCCCTCCTGATATAGCTAAATGGAATTT